ATCCCTTCGTTAGCCAAAATGGCATAAAAAGAAGCAATTACCATTAACTTATATGGAAAAATTTTTGAGTGTTCTCAGACCCAACATATAACTTACCAAATTATACCAAATATACTTAATTATGTCGTTTTATGCCCAGCATAACACTCTTGTGAGCTCTCTTAGACTTTTCTGATACCTTAGGACACATCTTACTAACGGATGCACAGAACAAACAGGGAATAAGCAGATGCTCAAAGCCGCGGCGGCCTGGTGCGGAGATGCTGAGCGCAGTCGGGGAAGGCGCTGGGGGGCGGCCTGGTGCGGAGATGCTGAGCGCAGTCGGGGAAGGCGCTGGGGGCCGTCACTGCTTCGCACCTCTGCTCGGGAGCCCGCCGCTGAGCTCACTGCAAACGCGTTTTCTTATTCGCGCTTTGCCTTTTCATGAAAGCAAAAGTGCTCTTCAGATTTCTTTCAGTTAGCCAAAACAGGGACAAGGTGTTGTAAAAGCAAACTTTCAAAAAGGAGGGGTTACCTGTAATTGGAACTGAGCCGACTAAAAAGAAAAGCGTCTTTAAGTGCCAGTTACTTACCTCGTCAGCAAAGCAAGGTTAGCTCCAGTTACCCTCCCTCCTCCTGTGGGATGGGGCAAGCCACAGGGTCTGGCCCAAAGGGAAGGCGACCGATCTTGACTCAGTTTAGAGCAGACAAGACCACGTTAAGAACGTTCTTTGTGTATTTTTGGGCGGTGACTTGGGGATCCTTGGAATGGGCTTAGATGACACGAAGAACCTGAGGCGTTCACAAAGATTGGAAGACACCGTGACTGGGGACCCCAGAGATACCAAGGATTAGACCCAGGGATCCTGATCTCAACTCTCCCTTAATCCCATCCCCTGCCCCCCCCCCCCCCACTTAGTTGTCTGACCCCTCTCATTGGTAACAAAACAAATCTTTATTGCTCAGTTCCTTTTCATTCAGAAAACCAGAGGCATGTGTTCACATGCTCAAAATAAAATCCCAACTTTCGTTGACTGGCATACAAATGTGAATGAGAAAGTTTCCCCCAGCCACATAAACTGTGCCGTGGCCGGGCCTCTACCAAATTTGAGTGTATTTGGGGGTGGAGGGTGTTGGGGAAGCAGATGAAGGTGCATTAGAAGGGCAAAGGCAAGATACTCAATGGATGGAAGGATTCTGAGGTCAAAGGGACTGGTTTTGCACAATACCTACCACTGGAGTGAAAATAAGAAAACTGCCAAGGGCTTTTCTGTTTGCCTTCTTAAAGCATGTATGTGCATAAAAATCTGTTTTGGGGGTGCCGGGCATACAAACTGCAGAATCTTTGCAATGGGCAGGTCAGATGATCCTCCCCCACCTCCCCCACTCCCCAGTTTGCATTTTGTTGTCCATCTGTTACAAATACTTGCCTGAGTGGGGGAGGGCTCACCAGAGCAGGAATTAGCAGCACCTGGCAGGGTTCAGCTTCCTAAGAAAGTGAAGCTCTTGCCTCCAGTGGTTCTCAGGTCATTCCAGAGGCAGGACAAGGGACTGGCTGCCCTGGCCCAGGAGCCCTCTCTCCCTGTCCCTTTGTTCTGCCAGAGCTTGGGGACACAACCCCACTTGGTGAGTGTTCTTTGACACATGCAGGGCCTTGCTGGTGAGACCCAGGGGCCCTGAACATACAAACACACGAGAAACGACAGTCCTGTGTATATTTAACAATATATATTTATATATATTTTCTAGATCAGTACATTCAGTTTTAACTTGTTTTTTCTTCACAAACAGAAGAACTCTTACAATAGTAGACTTTCTAAAATAAATACTATTAAAATAGAGCTTCAAAATAAATATTCTATACAAAGGGAACCTTCTGTGGTAACTTCTGTTGTGGGGTGAGAAGGGACTCCGGTGAGGAGGGAAAATGAAGTGAGAAATGCGGCGGGAACCTCGACCAGCTCCCCCGTTTGAAACAGGAGGCTGAACTGCAGGGCAGTGAGGAGAAAGCAAGATAAGACACCACAGGAGTTACCCACAGCAAAAAATGGCAGCGCAAGAACTGTCAACTGTCACAGTAAGCAGAGGGTTGGCAATGCTTACCGAAGGCATGGACCAGGCGGCTGGTGAAGCTTGCGGGATGAGATGCCCTAGTGAACTGAATCGTACAGTGCAAAGGTGAGCTGCCCACACCCCACTGGACATCTCCGGGGGCAGCATGGGACATGAAGCTTCGAGGTGACAGATTCTGGGTGCTGGTCCCAACCAACACTTTCCATGTTGTGCAACTTGGACAAGTCATTATCCAACTAGGTCTCCCTCGATGTACAGCGGGGACCCACGCAGACTTCAGAGTGCTGAAGGAACCAGACTCCGTCACGTGAAGATCTTCCACCTGTCGGGAGGGGCCGGGCTCCACTTCCTTCCAGCCAGGGACTGTCGGAACCTTGGCTGCGCCCTCATCTACCTGGGAGGGCTTTGCTATCCTTAACCTTTCCCAGGGTGCTTGCTGGAGTGCTGGGCTTTCACAAACCCGCCCTGGGGGTGGGAGGAATGGCCAAGGCCCCCTAGGACAAGTGTCCGGTGGGCCCACTCCCAGTTCCAGGCAGAACCACACCCACTCCAGGTTGAGAAGTGGGGACCAGCTGGCACTTCTCAAAAAAAAAAGGTCAAGACGAGGACTCCTCCAGCCAAGCCATTGGTGACAGGAAACAATCAGCCAGAACAGCCACAGAAATGTGTCATGTCCCCCAGTGGCCCTTGGCTGGTCGAGAGTTTTCTTGTGTGTTTGAAGCCGAGAAAAAACACGCCGAGAGCCTGCTATGCAACAGAGCTGGGAGGACCCGGGCCGCTCCCCTCTGCCCTCCACCTCGGAGCACACAGGACACCGAGTTCTGCAGACATCCATCTAGCAGGTGAAATGCAAACTAAAAAGAACAAGCCAAAACAGGGGAGGAAAAAAGGGAAGAAAACCAAAATCCAGAAAAATCCATGTTTACAACTATGTACACAAAAAGTCAGGGTTCAGGAGGCTGTTGGCCAGAAACAGGGGGTATGTAGATAGAGGGTGGGCGGGGTGTGTGTGTGTATACACAGCTTATGTAAATCAATTCTCCACAGAACGGGTGTGTAGAACACCATCACCAAAGTGCAACTTGCCACTGGGGTCAAGTTTCCCATGGAGACATCTGAGGGAGGGGCTCTGGGAAAGTTCTGAGGCCTCCCCAAGAGGGGAAGTGCCCCCTCTCGGTTTGGGGGTAACCTCTGCACACCTATTCTGAGGAAAACATCTCCAGTCCCTTCAGTACATCTGATACATTCAATTAGTATAAGTGGTTGGCTGAATGTGTTTTTCCTACCATTCCCTCCATTTGTGCAAGAACATCCATCCATCCATCCATCGTGACTGTGGCAAGGGGAGCTACATGAATCAGCCATAGAAAACGCAGATGCAGTATTTCATATTTGCCTTTTACAAGCCAGCAAACGTTATATAAATAAAGCCTAAAATAAGACCCTCCCCTCCTTTCCTCCAATCAATAAATACCTATGGTTACAATTAACTTATTCTAAATCATAAGATGTTACTACTAGTCTTCAAGAAGGGGGGAAAGAAAGTTCTCGAGAAGCACTGGGTGCATGCCGGTCACAGCTACCTGCCTCCGTGCATCCTTCCTGGAGGCAGTTCTGTTCCTACAGAACAAACTGGAAATGCTACGGACACTACACTAAAGCACTTCCAATTTCCTCCGGGGTGGCTTTTCTGACCCAGCCACTTCCTCTCATGGGTGGGGGTGGGGGGAGCACACAAAATACCACATGAAGCAAAAACCCCGCACAACAGCTAGGGAGAAGGACCAGACACTACAGCGTTTGCATGCAACAAGTACCTACCCACTGGACGTGCTGCACTTTCCGAATTCTTTAGCACCTTGAGAGAAAGAGTTGCTACGTCTTTGGGGGCTGTCGGGAGGGGGTGGTGTGGCCATGCACAGAAGCAGGGCTCAACTCCAAGAAGCCCCTGGAGAAATCTTTCCCCCACCCACATTCTTCTGACTCCCCCACCAGGGCTTCCTAACACTAAAATAGACTTTTTTCATCATCTGTCTATTTACATTAAAGATACAGACACATCACTGTACATAAAAGGCTATGACAGCAAGCAGCAGAATCAGAAGAGTTGTTAACCAGCACCGCCTCGGCTCCCCGGTCACTCTGCCAACGGGAGGTGCTGCCTCTCTTCTTTGCTGTTAAAATCTTCTTCTCGGTGGGGAGGGGGATTGTGTTCCTTGAGGTGGCTCGCCCCCCCAGATTTTGAAATCAGCCCTTCCTGGGGGTGGCCCAAAAGGGAGCAAGTGTTTTATTATTATTTTCTAAAACACTGTTAGCATCTGGTTTAATTATTCTATAAAAACATGATGACTGGATCCAGAGACCACAGCCTCAGACTCATTGGCAAAATTATTTGGTCTCGCATTTGCCGCCCTGGGCTTTCTCGACCCATAAAGTTTCTGGACAGGAACCGGGTCGAGAGGACTCGGGACAAGAAGCGGGCAGGTGAGTCTGTGACTCGCTAAGAACCGGAGGTCGGTGTTGTGAGTGCAACACCCTCAAGAGTGACGGCGCTGGAAGGGAGGTGCTCTGTGAAGTGGCTCCTGAATCCATCCGTGGCTCCAGGGAGACAGTGAAGAACGAGGCCTGGACTCACTGGCCATCCTCCCGAGTATATACGACGGCGTTGCTAGGGTCTGCACCTTCCCCAAGATGCCGGGCAAACCGTGGGGGACAGGAGAAAAGACATAGCCGTTAAGACTCCGAGGGTCTTATTCAGAGGCCACTCAGTCAGCAGTTCCTCCCAGGCAGCCACAGAGAATGGACAAGAGGGGGGAGCGAGGGAGGGGGAAGGAGGACTGGGAAGGCATTCAAGCAGCTGCAACTTCCGGATATGTGGCCACATCTGCGTTCCATCTTCTGGAAAAGAAATCCCCCCACCCCCAAACCACACCCCACCCCTGCCACTGTCTGTTTCACACAAAGTTCCAGGACCCTGAAAAAACCCAAAGTGCTTCTTCCTTTCGGTGAAGAGAGTGGGTGACGGGGGGGCCATCTGTTTCTTCGGAAGCTGGGGTGGGCAGACTGGCAGGGTCATCCTCGAGACGCTGGAACCTCTGGCCTCGCTGCAGTCTTCTCAGGTGTCAGAAGGGAACCGAGTTCCCAGGGGGAGCACGGGGGCAGGGAGACGTCCACCCAAAGTGTCAGAACGGCTTGTCGGGTCTGCTGGCCTTGGCGTCGCCAGCGGCTGCCTTGCAGATGACGCTGTTCGTGTGCTTGCAGCGGCAACCAGGGCGACGCAGGTGGTCGTAGCCGCGCTGGGCCAGCTTCACACAGCCAGTGGCGGGCAGGTAGCAGAGGAGGCAGGGCAGCACCAGGGAGAGGGCGCCCATGAAGGACCAGCGGGCGCAGCAGTTTGAACGGGAGCAGGAGCAGGGGTGGTCGGCACAGGAGCCCTCGTCATCCTCGTTGGTGCAGTGGTAGAAGACACCCTGCACCAGGCACATGCAGGTGCCGTAGTTGACCAGGGTCTGGGCGGAGCACAGGCACTCCTGGTTGCAGACCCAGCAGGAGGGCAACGTCCGGGGCGATGCGCACTCCTTGCACTTACACTTCCCACAGGCCTCGCACAGCAAGAAGTGCTTGTCCAGCTCTGGTGGGACCGCTGGGCCCTTGAGGTCCAGAGGCTTGCAGTGGACCGCCTTGGGCTGGATGCGCACAGCCCTTGGGGAGGCCTGGTCAGCCATGGGTGGTGGTGCCATGTGGTCTAAGAGCCGCTGGTCAGAGGATGTGCTGCTGCTGCTGCTCACAGAGCTGGGGCGTCCGCTGAAGGAGATCCAGTGGTGGGTGACGTCCTGGTCACAGCGGGCAGGCGTTGGGGCCAGCTCTGGGGCCCCACCCCGGGTCCGCTTAGGGCCAGTGGGTGGTGCCAGGCCAGGGTTGTCTATGTAGTCATTCTCCACATGGCTGGTCTTCATCTGGTCGATGGGGAGGATGGTGAGTGGGTGCTGGAGCCGGCTGTGGGGCATACGGCTGTCAAGAAGGGGCTGGACCATGACTGAGCTGGGAGTCAAAGGGGCGCTCTGTGGGATCGGGGGCTCCATGGGGCTGGAGGTCCTGGACTGCGCTGAGAAACAGGCTTCTAGGGGCCCTGGGGGGTGGGGAAAAGGAAGAGAGAATGGATTCCAGGCATCAGTATTTGGCCTGCTAATACCCCTACCCCATCAGGTCCTTGGGAGCCCAAATGAAATGGGAACTGGTTTCCTGGTGGATTCTCCAGAATTAAGGCTTAGATGATTAATAATGACAACAACAACTTAGTTCTTAACAAGAACTATAAATATCAAGTCATTGACTTCACAATAACCCTGAAACATACCTACTATTATTATCCCTTTTCTAGTGACAGAAAACTAATGTTCAAGGTAACTAACTGGCCCACAGTCCCACAAAACTATCGGTGGCAGAACCAGGACTCAAACATGAGCCGTCTGAGTTCATTCTTGTAATGCCTGTGAAACATGTTCCTTTTTTAAGATAGATAGCTCAGTGGTGATCAACACAGGCTTTGGAATCAGATCCCAGTTCGAATCCTCCCTTCTGCCTTGCAGTGTTACTGTGAATGAGGCTCTTTAACTTCTCTGTGCCTTAGTTTTGCCAACTGTAAAATGGGTTCTTGTGAGGATTAAATGAGAAAAGGTATATCCAGTACCTAACATCTTTCTTGCCTGGCATACAGCAAGTGCTCGGTAATTTATCACCACCCCAAAGAGCAACGGTTTGGGTTTCCTGAACCCTAATAAGCACGGCGTGCCAAGCATTGTGCTGAGGATGTGGTGACCACGAGAGACAGCCCCGTACGCTCCCATCAAGCTTATCAGCTCGATAAACAAAAGCCTTTATTTCAGAGAGTCACAAGAGAAGGAAGGGCTGTATCTGATGCCTGCACATCCAGGATATTAACTTATTACCAGCACTTCTAAGAGCAGCAACCTCCAGTGGCTAATAACCCATGGGCAGGTGAGCTTCTGACAACTTGGATGGGAAATCCTCTCCAGGGGCACTCACATCGCCCATTTCCAAGTGCTGAGCTGAACATTCAGCCTAAATGCTATTTACTAGAATAGCTAAGCCAACCCTGGATCAGTTTCTAATTTCACCGAGAGAGTGCAATTTTAAGTTGGAATCCCGCCAGAGATTCAACTGCAGTGCCTGACACGGAACCCCAGGAAGTCACTTAAATCAAAGAGCGGAAACGGCTTGGTTCAAATTTAGAAAGTGCACATTGTTTTCTATTAGAAGTGCCATTTCCTCGCCTGCTGACCTTTACATTCGGAATTCGGCTGGAGATCAATTTAAAGAAATAGCAGCAGAAGGCCAAGACCTCTGCCCAAGGGGACATGATTTGGAATCCAAGAGAAAGATTAGACTCTGGGAAGATTCCACCAGGGGTGGGGGTGGAGGGCAAAACAGGGTGTGTGGATAGAAGGGGAATATAATCATCGTAAAAAAATAAAAAAGGCCACTGCAGTAATGTGGTACAGGATGGGATTTCGGTAAATGCTTTTTCAAGATGCTAATGATGTTCTAATTAGGAGAGCAGATCCTGCGTCTCAGCTGTTAGGTTCATCTTCTCTCAAAGGTGATGCCCTAAGAAGGGGGTGTGGATAGGTTTCCACTTCCCCATACTGCTCCAGACTTGGGGCATAGTCAGTCCATGGGTTCATCTTCTCTCATAGGTGATGCCCTAAGAAGGGGGTGTGGATAGGTTTCCACTTCCCCATACTGCTCCAGACTTGGGGCATAGTCCGTCCATCACAATATTCCAATGACAGGAGAATGACACCTTGCCTGGGTGACTCAAGCATACTTCTCAATGTCTATAGTAAGGAGTGAAGAGGAAAAAAAAAAGGCATTCAGGGGAACTCAACATTATATTTCCCCTACTTGGAAACAATGGTTTGATCAGCAGTGGTTAAATTGTTGGGGAAGGGCTTCCTTAGATGCATTCTAGCCCATCTGAAATCAAGAGCTAGCTCTAGATGCAAACGAGGTTCATGAAGGGGATAAAATGGAGCTTATCCACAGGGCCCTCATCTGTCTATCACCAACACTGCCAAATGCCAAAATGCCTTTTCTACAAGGTTCAGTGCTTAGTCAACCACTCTTTCCCATTTGCATAGGGCATGAACTATTGGCTTTGCTCCCAATGGCCCACCTACTTCAAAGATGCTGTATTTCTGTGCAAGGTTTTTCCCAACATGGAGAAAGTCTGCCTCTTGCCTCCATATTCCCTCCAGATGAAAAGAGAGCATCATCTTCAAATGGGAGACGTCCCCATGGCAGAGTTACTCATAAGTGTCTGGCAGGTCTGTCACCAACTAGTCATTTGCCAAGGTGGCCTCCTGCGGTCAGGACTGGATGGGAGAATGGCAAATGAGCATCTATGGAGTTTTCCCAAGGATCAGTTGGCCATGGGGGAGGAACTTCAGAGAATGCTACCTCAGCCCACTTACCCTTTGCAGAGGTTCCAAAGCCTTGCTTCTAGAATAAATGGGTTTGGGATTAACAGAAGAGGTTAGGAGCCCCTCGTCCTTTGCCTGGAGGAAAAGGTGTTACTAGGCTTAAGAATAAAAAATGCTGACAGAAGCACGGGATAAGACTCTCCTTGGCGCCAGCCAAGAGTGTCTCAGCTGGAACTCCCACCCCGGACAGAGACAATGATTCCCTTATTCCAGAAGCCCAGGTCATGGACACTCAGGGTCCTGACAACAAAATGCCAGTGGTGGTTTGAAGGCCGTATTGCCCATGTCATTGGGTCTTTGTCTCTTAGGACTAGGATTGGGACTTGCCATGCTGTGGGGGAAAGGAAGGGTACTCCCTCCCCCAAGCAGATGATCCACTCTACTTTCCCCAATTCTGTACCTGGGGTTCTTTAAAAACAACCATTTTCTGTGGATGAAACAAAAGGCACAAGCAGTGCTCAGGGATTTTAACAGGCTCTGGAATCAGAAGGCATATTCACAGAAAAAGTCCCATGGAAAAGTCCCACCAAGAAGCCAGAGTGGGAGCAGGGCCTGCAGGGAATGGGGACATTGGCACTGGAAGGCTCCCATCACCCTCCAGAGGCAGCTGTCAACATCTGGGCCTGCAGTTGGGGCCAGACATGGGGGTGGGAGCTTGGTCCACAATGACTCAGCTCTTTTGGAACAGGCTGTACCTAAGATGGCTCCAGCAGGCACATTCTAAAATGCGTCTCCCCTGATATCCAAAACACAAATTCAGAAAGGTACCTGGCACCCCTATGTTCATTGCAGCATTACCTACAATAGCCAAGCTATGGAAGCAACCTGTGTTCATCAACAGATGAATGGATAAAGATGTGGTATATATGTACAATGGAATACTACTCAGCCCTAAAAAAAAAATGAAATTTTACCATGTTGACAACATGGATATGCCTAGAAGGTATTATAAGGGAAATAAGTCAGACAAAAAGAAACACCACATGATTTCACTTACATGTGGAATCTAAAAAACAAAATAAACGGGGGAAAAAAATGACCCCCAAAGAAACAAAACAAACGCATAGATTCAGGGAACAGATTGACGGCTGCCAGATGATAGGGGTTGGGGGAATGGTTGGAAAAGGTGAAAGGGATTTAAAAACATAAATTACCAGTTATGAAAATAGTCATGGGGATATAAAGTACACCATAGGAATATAGTCAATAATACTGTAATAACTATGTATAGTGTCAGATGGGTACTAGACTTACCAGGGCAATCACTTTGTAAGGTGTGTCTAATCACTATGTTATACACCTGAAACTAATATGCTATTGAATCTTAACTGTAATTGGAAAATAAAACAAAGATTTAAAAAACAAAAACAAAATATGTTTTCTAATTAAAAAAATAAAATGCATCTCTCCTATCATAACCTGAATAAAGGATTCCTTTTGGCCACCAGCTCAGCTGTTTCAAAACTGCACTAAACCTTCTCAGGCCTCACAGCCTCACCTCCCCATTAGCAGGGACCCTCCACAGGAGGGCTGAATTCATTTGGCTGACAAAGAAAAACAACTTCCGGAACAGCCAGTTTGATAACCCCTCAGCACAGCTAAATGAAGTCTCAAAAAAAAAACCCCAATCCTCAGTTGGTTTAGAAGATCAATCTGTACTCCCTGGGACACACCCACCCTCCAGAGTCTAAGCAACACTGATGAACTTAAGTGCAGTTTAATATGTACTCTGCTTCCCCTGCAAGGAAGGAAGAGATTTATAATATAAATAGGAGAGAGGAGGCTTTGCCTCATTTAGGCTGTTTGGAAGACTGATGGCCAATTTGGAAGACTGTGGACAGAGAAACAAAGCCAGCACTCCACTTAGCCCGAGAAGTACCTCTGGCGAGTTTTAGGTGGTGGGCTTATGGATTAGCGTGAGGAAAGAAAACTTTCACTCCACTCCAAACCTTCTAATAATAGTAATAATAAATAATAATTATGGAAGCAGCTAATATTTATGAAACATCTCTTGGTGTTAGGCTCTGTGCTAAGCCCTCGATGATGTTCTCATTTAATCCTCACCATCACCTTGGAGGATAACACCCATTTTGCAGAGGAAGAAATGGAAGAACAAAGGGTCATAGAGCTGGCAAGTGATCAGGGAAGGATTCAAACCCAGAGAGCAGAAGCTCCAGACGCTGCAACCTCAGCCCCAGCTTACAAAAACTTCTGGTTATTCATGGAAAGGCATGAAAGCATCACTCATTTTCACAGCCACGAACTCTACCAGTTTCCCCAGTTTGCCACCGGCCCTCAGGGAATGACATCAGGCCATCTGCGGGCTTTTAAGCAAACCAGCGGGGAAACGAAGCCAATGCAGGGCTGACATGAGACTGGCCTCCAAGTAGGGGAGATATTTCAGTGTGGAAATTGGAGGCTGGGGGTTTGAAATCTGCCACTAAGAAAGAAGGCTCAGAGTTCAATTAACTTCACTTCCAATTCTGTTTTCTTTTTTTTCCCCCTTAATCTTCAACGAGGATATTTTTCCATTTTTGTTCAGATAGAGTGGGAGGGAGGGAGGGGAGAGAGAGAAACATCGATGTGAGAGGGACACTTCGACCCCGACCAGGGCCAGGATGAACCG